TCAGTTCATGAATGTATCTAACCTTTTGTAAAGTTCACTTGTTTTTATTTGGAAGTGCAATGTCAACATCTTCAATTACTACCACGTTCAGAGATACCTAAGAGGTTCTTCAGAAACTTGCTTGTGTTTCTCAAGTGTGTTGATGTTGATTTAGCTGGAGATATTGATACTAGAAGTACTACATAGTATATTTATATTATTGGTGGAACAGCAGTGTCATGGGGCACTAATTTGCATAAGAGTTTCGTTGTCTACTACAGAAGCTGAGTATATAGCAATGTCAGAGGCTGCAAAGGAGATGATATGACTACAGGGCTTCTTGAAGGAATTGGGCAAGAAGAACCAAAAAGGCATTCTCTATAGTAATAGTCAGAGTGTCATACTATTCCTTTCCAGGAATTAAACATTTCAATCCATGACTAAGCACATTCAAATCAGGTATCACTTTATACGGTCATTGTTGGATGACGGACAATTGTTGCTTGAGAAAATTTGTGGAAGCCAGAACCCTTCTGATATGTTGACTAAGGATGTTACTCTTGAGAAACTGAAGTTGTGCACAGCTTCAGTTGGTCTTCTAGCTTAAAGACAGGGCATTGAGTTACATAATTGGAGGATATCAGTTTGAGATTTGTTATCCTATGGAAGCAAAACTGTCGAAGAAAAAAAAAGGGTTGTGTAAAATCAGAAGGAGAGTCGTGCGATACCTCGCAATTCTTTCTTCCTCTTCTGTTCGCGACTTAAAGTCGAGACAATCGACTGGTGAAAACTCCTCAAGTAGTAAAATCCTTTGCAACTCTGTGGACGTAGGCAATTAGTCGAACCATGTAAATTTGTGTGTTCCGCTGTGTTACTGTTTATGGTGTGAATTTTCTCGTTTCAATTTTTTCGTTTTCTTCGTGGATCATTCTTCTATTATATATATATATATATACCACAACTTGTAGCTAGCACTCACTGTACATTTCTAGGCCTAGAACCAAAAAATTCAACTTTAAAAACTGATACCTGTGATTTTTATGGAAAATTGTCTTCGAAATCAATGATGAATGTATTAAAACTTGCATTTAAATGAAGCTCAGTGGATTCAGTGAAGTTTCTTATTTTGTATCTTTTGTAACTTATATGTAAAAACACATGCGAGTAACTTAGTTTTCCTCAATTTGTGTTCTTGTTGTGGGATATGAATTCTTCGAGCACTCAATAAGTGTTGATGACTACTTCATGGGCGAGCCTCCTTATATTGGCATGAGAGCCAATTCTTACTTTGGATGATTTTATCAACGCCCCAATTTTTCTAAGCATAAGCTAGAACGTTGCTAAAATTTTATGTTTGTTCAGCATTTAGTGGGGAATTTCAGATTTTAAAAATTATTGTTAGTATTTTTTTAGTTGTTAGGTTTTATTTATTTGGTTGTTCATACTCTCACAGTATTAAATGAAGAAAACATGCCTGTAGGTTTTACGTTAAAAGCAATTTTTTCCAATATTAGTTGGTGCATTTTTTTTTTTTTACCATTTCAACATATATATCTCATTGTGGACTGCATGCATATTCCAAGAGATGGAGAGTTACAAAGTTGATGCTAGGCATGAGAGTATGAATGATGAAATAAATGAAATAAAAATTAGAAAACATTTGGATTTTCTATGCTACACTTGCCACAAACTTAAGCATTTAATTATTTTTAAACTAGTACATTTAAAAATATTTTCAAACTTAATGTGATTGAAACCTTAATTATTTAATGTTTGATCAACAAGGATTAATTGAATGCTTAACATTTAATACACTTCAAAATATTCCTCCTAATTAAAGTATCTTTATTGAATGATATGGCAATTCCTTTTTCAGCGTTTCAGTTCCCTCAAACCAGTGCCTGCGATGACACCTTATGCCTAAACAACTGAGCCACCATATCGTCTCTAGGGCAGCTAGCACTTTTCATAACATTAGTTTATCCACATTTTATAATGCCATCTTCACATGTTTAACCCTAAATGGAATTCGCAATAAGTCAATATGCGGATGAATATATAAAAGCGGATTGATGGATGAATCATTCATAAGCATACGACTCAAAAATGCTACTTCAAGTTTGCATGCATGCACCATCTGCAGTGACAATGTTTGATTGGATAATACATTGCTCAACCATAGTATCTTGCTTCTACGATATCTGGAGGCAACTGAACTTCCAACTTGTCACAAAACTATGTTCCTTGCAACATTAAAAGGACACGGATTGGAAGTATGTAAACACAGCTACGTTTACAAAGGATCGGTTTCCAAATTCAGAAATTTATGTCATTTTCTGAAAAATGCAGCAATGGCTTTAAATTTTTTTTTTTTACTCCTTGTTCATCTTGAGTAACTTTTATCTGAAAATTTATCTCTATCACATTTTCAGATAGCATACGCTGCTTCTACTCTACAGATTCCCAACTGTTGATTCAGGGATACCACACTGCACAATCATGTTGAGTATGGAGCCCGGGGGGAAAAAAAAAAAAAAGGAAATTGCTCCCGCTTCCCGCCTACTCACGTTTTCCTCTGCAGCGAAGGATCGCTTCGCCCGTCTCCTTTTTTCGCCAAATAGGGAAGCCCCGTCTCCTTTTTTGTATTTGCGACACAGTAGGAAGCCTCCCTAATCGCACGCTGCCGAACTAAAACCACAGGAATAAATCGCACAGCTCTCCTTGACTTCTTCGGCGCTGGCTCCAAGCAGTGGGGCTCACGGAAGAAAGGATTGTACGGTTCGAAGGTTCTCCTTCTCTGTTTTCCCTTCTTCCTCCTGCCTGTGGCTTATGGTAGAGAGGAGGAAGAGATAATTCTTTCTTATAAGTTTAAGTGATCTATATCCTGTAAATTCCTCAATTAATAAAATCTTTTGTAATTCTGTAGACGTAGACAATTTGTTGAACCACATAGATCTGTGTCGTTCTTTTTTCTGTGTTTTTTGTGTGTGAATTTTCTCGTTCTATTTTTCGTTTCGTAGTCGATCATTCTATTTTATATATTTTTAAATATCACAACAACTGGTATCAGAGCAGTGGTTTTGGATTAGAGAAAGAATGATAGCAGCAGATAAAGTAAAGATTTCAGGGATTGAGAATTTCGATGACACAGATTTTGATTACTGGAAAATGCAGATAGAGGACTATTTCTATGGGAAGAAACTTCATCTTCCATTATTAGGGAAAATATCGGAAAGGATGGATGGGGTTGAATGGAATTTGTTGGATGGACAAGTTCTGGGGATTTTTTCGATTGATCATGTCGAGATCTGTTGAACACAACGTCGTCAAGGAAAAGACTACTGTAGATCTCACGGCAGCCCTGTCAAGTATGTATGAAAAGTCATCGGCGAATAATAAGGTATATTTGATGAAAAAATTATTCGATTTGAAGGTAGCGGAAGGTACGTTCATTGTACAAATCAATTATTATCTGTGAAAATTGAATTTGATGATGAGATACGTGCACTGATCTTGTTGGCTTTATTACCAAATAGTTGAAAAGTCATGAGGATGGTTGTCAGTAAACCTGCAGAAAAATTTAAATAGAAATATGATGATATTCGTGATTTGATTTTGACTAAGGAGGTACACAGGAAAGATTCTGGCGAAACCTAGCGTTCGAGTTGAGCATTAAATATTGATTCCAGGGAAGATCACAGAACAGGAACTCAAACAGAGGAAGATCAAAATCAAAGCACAAAGACAGGAGCAAGTCAAGATCTGGAAAACAAATAACTAGTTGGAATTGTGACAAAACTGGCCACATGAAGAACTCATTGTGGCACAGCAGTGTCATGGGGCTCTAATCTGCAAAAGACAGTTTCATTGTCTACTACAAAAACTGAGTATATAACAGTATCAGAGGTTGCAAAAGAGATGATGTGGCTACAGGGCTTCTTGGAAGAATTGAGCAAGAATAATCAGAAGGACATTCTCTAAAGTGATAGTCAGAGTGTCATATTTCTTGTCAGGAATCCAGCATTTCAGTCCAGGATCAAGCACATTCAGATCAGATATCACTTCATATGGTCATTGTTGGATGACGAATAGTTATTATTTAAGAAAATTTGTGGAAGCAAGAACCATGCTGATGTGTTGACTAAGAGCGTTACACTTGAGGAGCTAAAGTTATGTGCAACTTAAGTTGGTCTTCTAGCTTATAGACAGGGGCTTTGAGTTGCAAAAATGGAGGATATCAGTTTGAGGAAAAGACATTGTAGCCTGTGTACCGGTTTCCAAGTGGGAGATTTGTTGAGTATGGAGCCCGGTAGAAAAAAAAAAGGGAAACTGCTCCCGCCTCCCGCCTTCCTCTGCCGCAAAGCGAAGCAGTCTCTTTTTTTCGCGAAATAGGGAAGCCCTGCCTCCTTTTTTGTTTTTGCGACACTGTAGAAAGACTCTCTAATCGCACGCTGCCAAACTAAAAACACAGGATGAAATCGCACGGCTCTCCCTTAACATCTTCGGCGCTGGCTCAAAGCAGTGGGGCTCACGGAAGAAAGGATTGTTCGACTAAAGCCACCACTTCGAAGGTTCTCCTTCTTTGTTTTCTCCTCTTCTTGTGGCTTGTGTTAGAGAGAGAGGAAGAGAGATAGAATCATTTCTTGTAAGTTGAAGTGATCGACGTGGTCGACGGTGTAAATTCCTCAAATAATAAAATACTCTGCAACTCTGTGGACGTATGCAATTTGTCGAACCACGCGAATCTGTGTGTCGCTCTTTTCACTGTGTTTTCTGTGTGCGAATTTTCTCATTTTATTTTTCGCTTCGTCGGCGATCGTTCTATTTTATATATTTCTATATAACACAATAAATTAAAATACAAACGTAAAAACATACCACACACATTCTGACATACATGTATATATAAATTGTTCATGTGAATAATCATGTCGTGCTTTGAATGATGCTAATGATAATTTCAGTTGATAACAAGTTTGAATGTAGTAATTTGGTCCATCATGAAACCAAATGAAAAGTACCTCTGTCCTTCCAGGCATTATAGGTTTGCCTGCATAAAGTTCAGCAAGAATGCAACCGGTACTCCATAAGTCAACAGCTACGTCATACGTAGTAGCACCAAGCAAAAGCTCGGGTGGCCTGTACCACAGAGTGACCACACGACTTGTTAATGGTTGTTGTTGTTGAGAATCGAAGAAACTTGCCAGGCCAAAATCTGCAATTTTTAAAATGCCATTATTGTCAATCAAAAGGTTGGAGCCCTTTATATCCCGATGCAGGACACCATGAGTATGGCAATAATCAAGACCGCACAATAGTTGTCGCATGTAACATTTGACCTGCTCAAAAAAAAATCATGTTTCATATTAGGTCGAAGAAGAAGTCTAAAGCATCAGTAATGCAATATTTACAATAGAGATTCATTAAAGAAAACAGAGAAAAATAGGCCTTTCAAAATTGCTTTGCTACCTGTGGTTCTGTGAATTTGATACCAGGAAAAGCAGCAAGCCCCGCAAGATCATGCTCCATATACTCAAAAACAAGGTACAGACTGCAAGACATGCGTGATGTTACCAAGCCTTCCAGATTTATTATATTGGGGTGATCAAGTCTACGCAGAATGTGTATCTCCCGAGCCATGAAGCGTACGCTTTCAGGCTCCAGACTATCAAACCTTACTTTCTTTAAAGCAACAATTTTTCCATTTTCAATGTCACGAGCCCTGTAAACACTACTGTAGGTTCCTTGACCTATCTGCAAAACAGAGATTTACTGAAAAGATTAAAGCACTGCTAGAACTCAAAAAACAAGAGTTATTTAAACAATGGTTAACAGCCAGCATATTGCTTCTGATTGAAAATTGCCAATAAAGAAAGAAAGATGTGGAAAAGAAAAAGTAAAAACACATTAAAACCACGGGATTTGTTCTTTTACATGCAACATAAACCCCGCCAAAGCATAATTTTATGTGCTATGTATTTGAAAAACAAATTATTCAAGATAGGAAGGGTAACTGGCAATGATCAAGTATATTAAAGCACCGTAAATATTATTTTTTCTGTTTTCCCAGGAGCAATGGTACAGTGAAAGCAGTCAATTAGACATAAATTGATGGCTTCCTAATGAACACAAACGGAAGAACATTGCACGTAACAAGTAATCAGCTCGCTTCAGGAATACTTCCAAATTAACTCAGATGCAGATCAACAATTTGAATTTTAATTTAAATTCAGAGATTTTATTTTAGTAGTTTTCTAAGTTTTCTGAATTTATATTGATTTATTTTAGTGCAAGCACGCCTAGGATGATGATCCCTATCAAGAATAAAGTCTGTTCTCTAAAATCTGTGTTGTTTAGCTTCGGTTCCTCATGTTGGTTTAAGTCAATTCAAAAATTGGTTCTTTGTCTATAAATGTTCCTCAGAAAAAGTGTTCATCGCTGGTGAGGATTGCTGATCCCTGTTGATACTCACAAATTTCATGATTTACTTAAATAGCTGCTGCTGGCTTTGCTTCTACTCTCTGTTTCCTAGTTTGCCCGATTTTCCTATTACAGCTAAAATAAGCAGTCTTCTCATGAAATTCGATATGGGACATTGAACCAAGTGTGGCTGATTTAGAAACATCTATTTTCACTGAATTTGAATTCTCTGTTTCCAGGATCCTCGTATGTGAATTGCCTTCTATTCAAATCAATAAATAAATAAATCCTGAAGCTTGAAATATGAATTAATATTTATGCTCAAGCTAAGCTGAAACTTACGTATTTTGACCAGATTTTGAAGGATTCTGAGAAATAATTTTCATGTTCTTTTGATTATACATAGGTCCTTAGGAATATAAAATTCAATGTATAATTAAATTAAAAATTTGTTTTCCTCTCAAAACTTTAGTGTTTTGTTGAATGAGGATTCTCCTGTGTTTTGCTAGTCTTACCAAGATCTTCAAATTGGTGATTTTGCAGTGTTCAATGGAAAATGCCTTTATAAACTTGAATATTATATTACCATTAAAGAAAATATTAAGATAAATGAAATGGAACAGCAAAGAATGAGTGCAAGCTGAACTTATTGGAAAGTCGATAGGAGAAGCCAAATTTTTTGTCAGATTACAAAAAAATAGATGATACAGACTGTCAAACAAACAGAAATGCAAAATTTTGGTTGGAGCAAAAAATGCAACATGAAAGAGAAAGGAAAACAATGACTAAGACTGTTAGTAGTGTAGCTTCAAAATGTGTGAAAAAAGTCATATAAACTAGAGCTCATAGAATTTATGCAAATGGAAAACATGCCATCTTCAATTTCGATTTACTCTGTCATTTACTCTGCCAATCCTATTTCAAAGCATTAAGAAAGTTACATGCATATCTTATTAAGCTGATGGCCTCTAATTTCAACATCCTGATCATAAGAAGTCTCTCTCTCCCTCTCCCCCTCCCCTTCCCCCTCCCCTCCCTCATTGAGGAAACCTAGGTTGCAATTATCACTATTTAATGCCATGTCCTTTACCTGACTTAAATGCAGCTAGCTCAAATTAGCAAACTTAATCATAATCAAATAGGTTCCAAATTGGGCTTGGCTGACTCAAAGTTTACAATAATTTTGATTTGAGTACGCTCAATGATATTGAGATCAAATCAAGATCGCTCATTCAAACTCAACTTTAGACACACCTTCGTTTTCACTTACTAACCAAACTACTTATAAGATGAGAGATGAAAAAAAAAAGCATACAATTAATGGTTCGTTTGAATTTTCATTTAACCGAACAAACCAAAATTTAATTAAAATTCCTTAATATATTTTTAGGGCATTTACATACATACCATTCAAGTCCTATGTATTTATATATGTAGCATGTAAGCTCTACTTTTTACATTTGTACCACCCATCTCTTTCGTAGTTAATTAAAAATACCACCATTTTAACTTTTAAAAAGTGAAATACACCTTTTTCATACATAGTTAATGTGGCATTAATGTAAAGAACTGAAATCTAGGTGCTAGATATGTAAATACATATGAAATAATTGGTATTTGTGTAGAACTTCCTATAATTAGTTTATCATATATGCAACATTTGATAAAAATAAATTGAGTATTAATGAAAATAAATTAATATTAGACAGTTAAGATATGTAATTCATGATGTTTGTTCATAATTAAACTCCAACAAACAATTAAATTTGGTTTTTTCATAACCGAATCGTTTAAACAGAATTAAATATCGGTTCGGTTTTATCAAAATTTTGATTGGAACGGATTTTTAAATATTAGATTTTCATTGCAATCGGTTGGACCAATTTGCAAATCGATCCATCTGAACCAACAGAATGCCACCCCTAGCTCAAGTTGATGTTTGGAGAGATTTGCGGAACCGTTTCGAGAGATCCAAAGCAAAACTTTCAAGAGAAGCGTACAAATCAGAAAAAACAAAAAAAACAAAGAATAAAAAAATTTAAGGTGAAAAAACTCAAAAAACGGGAACAAACCATAGTCACACTAAGCCAAAAGATTCAATATGAAAAATGAGGAGAATTGTACAAATTACACAACTCAAGGCTCTCTACTTTTTTGGAACATATCTGGAATTCTCTCATCTGTCCTTTGCACAAGAAAAATCGAAATCCAAGTCAACTCATACAAATTCCTGCAGCGAGTCGAAATATAAAATTACAAACTACTCGAAATTAGTTATTGGAGACAGGATGTCGAGATATGGCATTGTGGTGCTCCAAAGGGCGTTGGGGTGTTGAAGCTTCAAAACCTGGACTAGGCGTTTCAGGGCTTCCCGCTGGGTGCTAGATTGTTGAGCTAAGTGCTCGGATTCCAAACGCAAGAGCGGTGCATCTAGGCGCTGCAGCGCCTGGTACATGAAATAAAATCTTTCAAGGGCAGCGCCACTGAACCCAAAACATGGGGGGCATCCCCCGTATCCCCTAACAAACTCACCATCAAGCATGGACGGCGAAACTTAGGGCTCTGAGCGAACAATTGATCGACACAAAAAGGCTCCATATAATAACAGCTGACTGGCCTAAATCTACATGCATGATTGCATATTTAGTTTGATTCTACATTTCCCAAGACCAATTTTTCATTGTTAATGTCAAAGAAAAATGTAGCATTCTCCACATCAATTCCTTTTTATAGCTAATCAGATCTATAAATACAAAAGGGCTGTCAATAAATGTTGATAACATACGCAAATCATTAGCATAAAACTTGCAATCAATTAACAAATTTTCTAATAATAAATTGCATAGAGTGACAATAAAATAAAATAAAAATAGGTCAGCAAAAATCAACTCTAACACATTTTAATTCTTCTAGACCTAATACATAGCAGATATCTACTGGAGCTCCCACCAACAGTAGAAGGCTTTCTGAACACCCTTTGGATATTGTCCTGATCAAAAAAAAAATCCAGAGAACCAAGAGGATAAAATCAAATTTAAGCCTTTCAAAGCAGCAATAACCACATTCTATGCCGCTAACAAATCTTTAGAGTAAATAAACCAACTTCTTATTATCCAGCACCTCCCAACACTCCTTATTCTTTGCATCAATCAGGCACAGATTTTGTATTCTATGGTGTTAATCATCAAGCTTAGTAGCCCTTCCACATTAATGGAAAATAATATTCCTTGTACGTCTAAGCAAAAGCAATCAGTCTTCACTGCCATCGTTAAAAGTTAAACATATCATCCTATCCTTAACAAATAACCAACCATGCAATCACAAAATCAACAGTACTAATGTTTCAAATCCAAAAGCTAGATTCCACCAAATTGGACAGAAAATCAAAGAAAAGCTCAGGCATTTCAGTACAGCAAAAAAGCTCAAAACCAGAAAAGCACAAAATAACGGCCAAAGTTTCCGCTTTTTCAAAACAGAAAGATCATTTGAAACTTACTTTGTCGAGCCTCTCGAATGAATCTGCCCGGCGAGGGACCAAGCCGTGAATTGCCTCTCCTGCAACAGCAACAAGCCAGGGCGGCCAGCCTGCAGCTACCTGCTCTCCTTCTGTTGCATTTGGAATACTGCCGATCATCCGCAAGTGCTGATGACTGGTATGTACTTGTCTTTCCCTCCTCATGTCTGCATCCCGCTCGTTAACTCCGGCCGCCCGGTTCCCCTGTTTGCTCTCAACCAAGGTCGCTGCTGTCAGACGGACCGCCACCAACTCGTCCCGCATCGAAGACGACACCGCTGCAGACGCCGAGAGCTTCGCTGGCGCCATCCCCTGGGAGGGCACAGCTGATGGCGCGAGCTGCCGCTCCCTCGGGCTCTCCCAGCTATCCTCAATAGGGACGGACTTTGCGCAGACGCATCCCATGGCTGCCCACAAGAAACCGATACACTTAAGTTCAGAGAGTTACGTTTCGACGGTGAAGCACCTCGCCGATTCCTCTTCGTCTGCATCCATGAAAACGCGACGGTTTTACCAGCGTCATGAAGACGAAAGACTCCTTTCAACGGGTACAACTTCCTCCGAGTCGAATCGAAAGGAGAAAGCAGTGACAGGATTTGGATTTCCTCCTCCTGAGTTCTTCAGGCGAGGTATACTGAGCTCCTTCTGCTAGGGCACGGAGTCCAGGCATGACAAAGCAGAAGTGACATTTTCTTCAGCTCGATTCAGCTCCCCGATTGTACATCACAGTGCTTCTTTGACTGACCGAGTTCTGCCCGGTCCGAGTCAGCCCGGAATATGTTTGCTAGACTTGCGGTCTGGGGGATTATTCTTGGTGTTATCTTGTGAGGCAAAGACTTTGGATAGATGAAGGTAGAAGTGAATTAGTGTGATTGATAGATTCATATTAGTTAGAAAAGGCAATACATTTCAATAAAAGTTATAAAAGCTTTATAAATAAAAAAAAAATTTAATGATTGCCCTTTGTTATTATAAAATATGATGGTGTATTATTTAATAACTAACAATTTAAAAATTCAACAGTATACTCGTCTGATATTTAGTTAATTTCATAAAGATTGTGAAAATTTTGAACGGACGGCGAACTGGAAGAATAAAATGTTCAAGATTCAATGGTTCAATCGAGGTTAAGTCGTAGTATTGAATCAAGATTTGTTTGTGAATCACACCAAGGAATAGCATGTTGGGATAAGAGAGAAAGTATATTGTAATTATAGGGGATGAAGCTCAATATTGCTTTAGTGAGAGTTGTACATATTATTTTAGGTATTTTACATATGTGGCCACATGGTTATTGGTTTTATTAGGTTATTAAAGTCTTAAGTTGTCCAAACTACGGGTCGTCCAGGTTGCAAGTCATTCAGACTGTTGACCGTACATACTATGGATCGTTCAGACTGCGAGATTTAGTCTGACATATTTTTTACTATATATTTAGTTTTTATATTCTCTTATCTCTTTGATGTACAACTTACAATATAAATGATGACTTATCAACATTTTTTTTATGTGGCATGAATCTTAAAGGATTTTCTTAGCAATGAATGTTCTATATTCAAATTCAAGATCATCCAAGTCCCCGATTTCAACAAATTCATAGTCAATTTGACCATCTTGAAAAGCCGAACTCGGTGATACCAAAATTGGTTTGATATGAATCCAATAAAACCCTAGTCAAGACGATGAAGCATTTTTGGAGGTTTTGGATCATATATTGAGTGGTGAAATGAACTTCAAATTTGAAAGTTCTATATTCAAATCAAGCATTTTGAAGAGTGGAATTTAACAAGCCTAGGCTTACTTGTTTTTAAGGTCATTAAGGCCCTTGAATTATTTTTGAAAAACTTATGATCAAGGGGGATCAATATAGTCAATCATATGGTTACGAGAGTTATTCATCAAAAGTTTAAAATCTACATTCAAATTTCTATGAAATATGTTTTCATAAGAGATTTATCTTCAATTAGGAACAAAAATAGCTCTTAAGCTTTGTCTAAAATTAAAACCTCTAATTTTAAAATTCATAAATGTTATATGTCTATGCAAATAGATGATTCTGTATTATTAAAATTCTAAATTTCCTAAATAATTGTTAAGATCTAGAGATAAATATGTCTATTCTTCTAAATCCTAGTTAAGATTCTTTCTAATATAGACCAAAACTCTGCATATATCACAAAATTTTACTAAATTTTAGATAAATATATGATGATCACTGTTGTAAAATTAAAATGGAAGAAAATAAACTAGCATACTTAATTTAATGCAATATGAAAAACACATACATTGGAATTGAATTATAAATCACAAGTTCAAAGGTAAAATGTTTAGCCTTATATGATGAAAACCTTACACAATGAAATTACTTAATTCATACTAATAGTCAACATATTCTACCATTGAAAAATGCAAGAAAAAAAGTAAAAGATACTAGGGCACTATGAATGATTGAATAAAATCAAATCTTTATAATGGAAAGATTTCCAAATGCCTAGCTTTAACACCTACCCTTTATCTTGCACTTACACTTTCTATCTTAGTGTCATTTGATGGTTTGCAAGTTGTCTTAAGCTCTTTCATTTTGCCTTAAATCTTAATCTTAGTAAATTAAGGATTTAAAAGCATTCAACTTGAATTTTTAAGTTTGTCAAGCTATTGGAACCTTACCTTACTCATTAATGCTTTTCATAGTGAACCTCAACCACATTGTTTTTATGGTTGGATGCTTAAAGGCTCTAAAATTGTTGAAGCCTTCAACACCAAATTATAGTCGTGAGTTCTTTGATCATTAACCTCTTGTCACCAGAACTCTATTGGTAACCTCCAAAATAGCACAAGATAAGAAATTTATGTTGGGCGTGATATGATTAAGCCACAAAAACATATTCGAGAGATTCAAAAAAAAACTTTGAACAGAAGAGCACAAAATAAGAAAACATGAATAACACATAAATTAACATGGAAAAAACAAAGAATGGGGAAAAACTATGAAGTTTGCCCACACCAGGAAATTCACTATGAAAAAAAAGAAATGAATTGTACAAATTACATCACACTCAAGTCTCTCAGTAATTTTAGAACACATACATAAGAGAAAATTTAAAACCAACCACTTTCCAATTGACAAAATTGAAACTATAAAGTGAAGAACTGTTCAAATTTGGTTACTGTCATTGGGGCACCATGATGGTTGCACTACAATACATTAAAGGGCTTTGTGGTGATGCATTCGAGTGTTGCAGTGTTATGCTCTTGGGTTTTGAACCTGAACTGGGTGTTGCGACACTGTCTAAGTGTTGGGGTATTGCTTGGCATTTAGGTTATGTGTACAAAAAAATATGGGAGCAACATCCTCAAAACTAATATAGAGGGGGCGCCCCTGTATCTCCCAGCAAACTCACCATCAAGCTTGATCATTGAAATTGAAGGCTCTGTGTGAACAATTAGTTAACACAATTAGACTCGACATAATAACAACCTCCCACTTCGAGACTGATTACAATTAAACCTTCTTCTATAAAACTATAACACCTTCATCATTATGAATTATATTGTAGCTCATTCCTATCTCAACCTTCCTAAACTCTAATTGAAACTAGGCATTGCTTCAAACCATCAAATCAAACTAATATAGAGGCAACACCCCTCTGAATTATGGTTGGACTGCGGGTTTTAACATTGTCTTCTGCGTGCTAGAGCATTGCTCACGCTGTATGCACAATTTTTTTTTGGGGGGGGGGGGGGGGGGCCCACAGCGCC